TGTCTCTAATATTTATCCATTTTGCCCCAATGTAATTCTTATGGTAATTAAACATTTTATGAGTTTCTGTTAAGGAGAGTCCCAATACACATAATTGAAAGAGTATTTTAGGAAAGAAAACATCCATTTATTACAAATAACTAACTTAATTAATCTCTTTCACAAATTAATTATCTACTCATCTGGTTTTATTTATAAGTCACTTCTAATATATTTTACACAAACTAAGAAAAACCTTAAATTTTATTAACTCTCATCCAAAATTCAATAATTTTGTAAATTTATCCTTATAAATATATATTACACCTTATATAAACAAAGCTCACATAATAATAAATGAAAGGTAAAAGTGTGTATATATACAAAAAATTTCTTTCAATACCTATAAATAGAATCAAAAAATATCTTCTCTCTTGACTCTATAAATAATAAAAAGAGAGTAGTAACTCTTGTATTAACTACCGGAGCTATTGCGTCGATATGTCCGAGCGGTTAAGGAGACAGACTTGAAATCTGTTGGGCTTTGCCAGCGCAGGTTAAAAAAAAAAACCACCGGAGCTAATGCTGTATTTACATCATGAGCACCATTAATACTGGTCCTACTCAGTGTTTAACATCATAATAGGGGCAACCCTTGTTTTGTGGGCTTCACACCTCACAGGAGAGCTTGGTCCTCTGCAATGATCCTGAGTGAGGTATATCGCCAAAATCCAATAGAGCATCCAAGAAGTGGCATTTGTTTGGGAGTATTCATATTCGTTACGGCCCAAATGGAAGCTCTGGTCTGGGTGAGACGACAATATGGTAGCGCTGGATGGATTTTTGCCTAAATCACCCAAAAATTGGAACGCAGTGAGCTGGGTTGAAGGATGCGGGAGCAATAAATCATTTAGTTGCAAGGGAAAAACCAAGCATTTACCAACAGAAATTGGCTCTAATAAAAGAGATTCGTTTATGACAATGTGATGAATTAAAAGTTAGAATTTTCGTTACTTTTAGTGTTTAATAATACTTCGGAGAAAAAAAAATAATATTACCCCTCTTGCTTTGATAGGAAAAAAAAACATGAAGAAAAAGTGAGTAAATATTGAAATGATTGAAATATCTTTACCCTTATGTCAAAATTTAAAATTAAAGTAAATATTAGTCCTCTAGTTCTAAATATAAGACCTCTTTTGTAATGTAATTTACACTACAAAAAGAGTCTTATATTTAGGACTAGAAGAATATAATAGAATGATTATATTAACATAAATAGCATCAAATACTATAAAGAGAATCTTAAATGATCACTTAAATAAGCAAAATCCTAATTTAGGTATAGGTGACCAAATTGAGATTTGTAAATTTGTTGAAATAACTACATTATCCTTTATTTTCTTTCCTTAAAAAATACCAAGCACCCACATCAGCCTTTAGAGCTCCGGTGGTGGTGGCAGCTTCTAAAGTTTAGGTGGGTCATCATCATCGGAGCTATGGCAACTGACCGACGATCAGTTGCTGGAGTTCTGGCTATTGGCAATTTTTTTTTTTTTTACAACTTCAGTAACGCGGTTAACAAATTTTTTGATACTATTAACAAGTTCAGCATAACAATTAACAACAGGTTTTCTGAAAAATTCAAAAAATGGCATTATTAAAATTTCAATAACTCGATTAACAAATTATGTAACGATATTAACAATTCTCGTAATGTCACTAACAACTATAATAACAAGTTATATAATAATATCAATAACTCTTGTAACCACAGTAACTATCTAATAAATAGAAAAATTTTGATGTACAACCTTCATAGAAAGCTAGTATTAAAAATATCAATCCTCATAAGAAAATTTTGTTAATGGCATTATGAAAGTTATAAATATCGTTACATGACTTATTAATCACAATATTAAAATTGTGAAGATGCCATTTTTTAAATTTCTTGAAAAACTTGTTATTAAACTGCTATATCGAACTTGTTAATAGCGTTACAGAATTTATTGACCGCGTTATTCAAATTGTAAAAATGTCACTTTTTAAATTTCTTGAAAATATATGGTTAACTGTTATATTGAACTTGTTAACCGTATTACTGAAATAGTAAAAATTCCCAACCAAAAAAATTTGCCAACTGCCAGAGCTTCAACAATCAATCATCAACCAGCTACGGAAACTTTGGTGACAGCAGCCCACCTAAACTCTAATAGCCAAGGAACAAAAACCGGACCGGGGAATTAAACTAATCGAGATAGTGGGTCAAGTGTTATTAGTCGGATTAGGGTTGGATCAGGGTCGGACCGATCATATTAAAATAATATAATTTAATTAATCAATACTTTTTATCGTGATGATTCTGAGGGACGTTTATTACTACAGGCCACCTCAGCAACAGGACAAAATGTTCAATTGCTTCATGTTTGTGAGTGCGGATGACAAACAATTCCATTTTAGTTACTATCTATTTAGTTGTTTATTTTTTTGTGTCTGACATTTAATGCTATTCTGAAAGTGATTGACCCATTGAAACATTGGCATTGCACTATCGCAGGGTCTAGTTCTTTCTCTGCCTCCATTCAATGTATTGTCCCGGACTTACGAGTGCGAGTAAATTGCTTTTCATGGATGGGTGTGCGAGAATTCCAAGCTGCTACATGATTCTTTTCAATGGATAACTTCTATTACGATTTTGTGTTTATTTAGACTCTGGAGATACTTCTGAGAAAGGTACCGATCCGAGTGACTTGTGTTCTAGGAAACGGTCTGATTTTGCAACAAAATTAGAATCTGGGGACGAGTTGCAAATCAGAAATCATCCCTTAAGAGGAATGCAAAGAATCTGAAGCTAAAGCGAGTGGTGAAGGCGAAGTAGGAGGTGGTGATTGGTGAGGTTGAGGGAGACTCAGGCTTGCGATGACTGGTGGTGAAGGCGAAGCAGGGAACGACCGAACAAGGAGCTCTACCGTAGACCCTGCCATCAACGATGCTAGGGAGCAGGGATTTTGGAGGAGGCGATTGTGATTTTGGTTTGAGGGAGGGAGGACAGCTACATGAGCAGAGGGGAATCAGGGGAGGGAAGCAGGGATCAGGGAACTCGACGATGAACCACTAAATTGTGAAGGCCGAAAGGGAAAAACCGAAGAATTGAAGAAGTTTTTTTTAAAAATAAAACGGAGTCGTTTTGAGCATTTTGGCAGGCCAAAAAAAATAAACCCAATTTAATACTGGTTTTTTTCCTGTTAAACCGGTTTTTTACCAGTTCAGTAGATTACCGGTCTAACAATTAAACCAGATCGGTTCACCAATTTTTTGGTAGAATTGGCCGGTCCAGTCCATTTTTTCCCCCTTGCTAGTAGCTGCCACAGGCAACCAAACCTCTAGCAATCAGCTAGCCAATGAGGGTGTTTCATATATTTTTTTTTAAAAAAATAAAAAGCAATATGGTCATTTCAGTAAATTTACAAATTTTAATTGAGTCATTTATGCTTAAACTGAAATTTTGCTTATTTAAGTTACCATAAGGGGATTTTAAATTTTAAAATTATTTTTCTATCATTTTCCCCAATTTTTTAAAACTAAATCATTTGATAAAGATATATTTTTATATTAATATATATTAAAACCACCTAATTTAGTAATAGAATATTATTTTTTAATATGAAAATAAAAATGGATAAGCTTACTGTTAATAACGTGTGAAAATTTAATATTAAGAAAGGTTAACTAGATCATTTTGATTTTGAATCATCAAGTTTCAAATCATAGGTTTTGATTCCTCAAGTTTCTTTTTATTTATAACAATGGTCCTTATAATTTAATAAAAACTTGGATCATTTTATATATTGAGAGGTCAAAACTTATGATTTAAAAATTAAGGAATAAAATTTAAAGGAACAAAAATTATATTAACCCCTAAAAAAACATGAAAAAGGATTGAATTGAAAAGCAATGTTTGCAAGCCGAGGTAAACCTCAAGTTTCATTCATAAAACGGCGGAACAAGTGATTATAATCTCACCTTTGACGCGTAATGGAGTTAAATGGGTTTTATTGTGCTCGCTATTACCGAACAACGTTCATTTTACCCTCCATTCTCCTTTGCAACAAAGGGCTGATTCTACTCAGGCATTACCCAGTATCATCCGCTTCATCCTTGGAGGGAACTTAAACTGGGTTCTTAAGATCGAAGCTTGGAACTTGGTTTCTTCAACCACTAATTTCCGCTAACTGAAGCAGCGAAATCTGGTGCAAACGTCTTTCTTAATTTGCTTCAGTTTATACCATTTCAGTGTCCATTTTATGTTTGAGTCTCGTTCTGGTTCCAGACTAAGTTTTAAAGCTTAAATCCCTTTCATTACAAATCCAATTGATATTAGCCTACCTTCGACTTTGGGTTCAGACATTAGGCCGACAAAAACTTAATCAGGTGGATATATAAATAATAAGTGCTATCTATAGGCAGATAGGAAGCAGCCTGATTAGCCTTCGGAAAAGTAGTTGTTGGAATTGACTTGACCAAAGAAAAAAAAAGGGCATTTCGCAAATTTTTTGCTTGTGGCATTTACGAAACGAAACCTTTTATTTTTCTTGCGACCTTTTACTATCTGAATTGTTTGGGCGTCAACTGAATAACAAACAATATGGTGGTAGAAATGATTCAAAACACGGCAATTTCCTTTGCATTCAGACGAGCAGAAACCAATTTGATGGCAGAAGTCAATAATGTTGAATCTTCCGTTCCGTGACCCTACTACAAGGATTTGACAGATCTCAGTACACATGCAAGGATCTGTTAGTTTGTTGACAAAAAGCATTACGTTGAATTGGAACTTTGGGTTTGGAATTCTGAATACGGTGTCCGGAGTCATTATCTTATTCTTGCGATGAAGCCGTGCAGGAAAGAGAACAATTTTTTGGGACTGCAAGAGCACCAAGTCAACCTGCATACTTCTGCCTTCTGGTGGGCTGCCCTTTCAACATGTGCCTCATCCGGATCATGGGTATATTTATGTAATCTAGGCTAGAGAAATTCATTGAATCCATGGCTATCCTTCCTTATTGGCTTGTTCTTCCCAATCTGCTTTTGTTCTTCTCCAGATTTTCTTTTGCAGCTGATACCCTCACCCAGTCCGAGTCTCTTCCTGACGGCCAGACCTTGGTTTCTGAAAATGAAATCTTTGAATTGGGCTTCTTTAGCCCTGGTAGTTCCACAGACCGCTATGTTGGAATCTGGTACCACAAAATCCCAGGTAGAACTGTTGTTTGGGTTGCCAACCGAGGCAGACCCATCAAAAACAACTTTGGCATGTTGAGAATAAACACACACGGACATCTTGTGCTTCTTGGCCAAAATGAGACAGTTGTTTGGTCAGGAAATTGCACCACAAGGGCCTCGAGTCCAATTGTGCAGCTTTTAGGCTCTGGAAACTTGGTTCTAAGAGACGGGAAAGATCAAAAGCCTCACAAGTACTTGTGGCAAAGCTTTGACTATCCTTCTGATTCAATTTTGCCAGGAATGAAGCTTGGGTGGGACCTTAGAACTGGTCTCAATCGACGTTTTACAGCATGGAAGAATTGGGATGACCCTTCCTTTGGAGGCCTCACAGTTGAACTTTTATTACACAATTATCCTGAAGAGGTCGTCTGTCAGGGCACAACAGAGTATATGAGAAGCGGTCCCTGGAATGGTGTTCGGTTCAGTGGCATGTCTCATGTGACGAACAATCCAAGTTATGAAGGAAAGTTTGTCTGGAATAAAGATGAGGTGTATTCAGTTCTTAATGTGAAAAATGAGTCACTGATTACAAGAGTTGTCTTGAACCAAACATTATACTTAGTACTGGACATGATATGGATTGAAGAAGATCAAAGGTGGACTATTTTCAGTTATATACCAATTGATAACTGCGATAGATATAGCCGTTGTGGCCCGAATGGAAACTGCGTTGAGGGCGAGGCACCAATTTGTCAGTGCTTGACGGGCTTTTTTGCAAAATCACCCAAGAAATGGAATGCAATGGACTGGTCTGAAGGATGTGTCCGCAATAAATCATGGAGTTGCAAGGACAAAAACAGGGATTATTTTGTCAAATTTAGTGGGCTCAAATTGCCAGATACTAAATATTCTTGGGTCAATGCAAGTATGACACTTGTGGAATGCAAAGCCAAATGCTGGGAAAATTGTTCTTGTAATGCTTATGCTAATTTAGATGTCAGGGGAGGAGGAAGTGGTTGTGCCATGTGGTTCGGTGATTTAATTGATATAAGGCAGATGTGGTTCGGTGATGTGATTGATATAAGGCAGAATTCCTTTGATGACCAGGATTTATATATTCGCCTTGCTTCTCCAGAAACAGGTGAGGCCTTTTAGTGATCAGTTTTCAATCATCTCTTGGTTCCTTTAGCGACCTCAACTTTTTGTCTGTTAACTCTTACTTCATTTTGCTGTGAAGCTGAACAGGATGAAGCTAATGGAAATAAGACAATGGTGATTACTGTACCGATAACTACTGTATTGGCTATTATGATGCTTTTCACTTTGTTCTGCATTTACAAGCGCAGAAGAAACTCTATAGGTAAGCATTCCCATTGCAACCGCCTTCACTTTTCTCCCACTTTTCCCATCTTCTTGTGATATTTGGAGTATAATTGAACATGGTTGAGCTTGTGCCGATTTGTTTCCCAACGAACGGAACGATTTCCCTTCCTTGTTTTTTTCTTTGACTATTTTTCTCACCTAGTTTAGCGAAGTGTACCAAGTAACAACGACAAAGGCTCCTAATTAACAGTAAACACCGACAAAGGCTCCTAAGGAAATATGGAGCTGCATATAAATTATAGCTAATGCTAGTAATAGTTGTTTTTTTAATTTATATGTTACATTTAATGTGAAAAATTGAACAAAGAAAACCTTGCTAACAGCAAACAATGAAGAAGGATCTGACGGAAATATGGAGTTAAAAACCTTGATAGCAATAAACAATGAAGAAGGTTATGAAGGAAATACGGAGCAACGTATCTATGACCTTGCAGTAATAGCTAATGCTACTAATAACTTCTCATCAGACAACAAGCTTGGCCAAGGTGGTTTTGGTCCTGTATACAAGGTAAGTATGCAACCAACTTCTACTAAGAGTGAAAGTTTACAATTATTCTTGCTGATTTATGATGTTACATATTCAGAATCGTTTATATGAGGTAAAAATGGCAGGGTATACTTGTAGACGGACAAGAGATTGCGGTCAAACGGCTTTCACAAAGTTCTTGCCAAGGGCTGTGTGAATTTAAGAATGAAGTCAAATTGTGTGCCAAACTTCAGCACCGTAATCTTGTTAAGGTTCTTGGTTGTTGCATTCAAAGAGAGGAGAAAATGCTCATATATGAATATATGCCCAACAAGAGCTTAGATTCATTTATTTTTGGTTCGTATGGCTAAAGAACTATCAATTAGCTGACTTATATCCTTTTTTTTTTTAATTTTTCCCCGGGTAATGATACTCATTACATTAAAAATTTGTAGGTTCTGAAAGTAAACATCTTGATTGGTCTAAGCGTTTTCATATTATCCACGGAATTGCTCGAGGACTTATGTATCTTCATCAAGATTCTAGATTAAAAATCATCCATAGAGACCTCAAAGCAAGCAATATATTATTGGATAGTGAATTAAATCCAAAAATATCAGATTTTGGTTTGGCAAGAATATTTGGTGGAGATCAAATTGAAGATAACACAAGACAAATAGTTGGTACATAGTAAGTGTGTTTTATGATATTTTTATTTTGAATATATGCACATTAATTGAATATGATACTAATTTCTTTATGATGCATAATAGTGGTTATATGGCTCCTGAGTACGCCATTCGTGGGCAATTCTCCGTCAAATCTGATGTGTTCAGTTTTGGAGTATTATTGTTAGAAATAGTGAGCGGCATGAAAAACAGGGGACCCATTTTGCCTAGTCAAAGTATTAATCTTATCGGACATGTTAGTACCAATGAGCCTAACTTTTCTATTTTCTTTACTGAAATTGGTAACTAATTCAATGTTTCGAATTGCTGTAGGCATGGAGGTTGTGGAAGCAGGGAATCCCACTAAACTTTGCCGATGAATGTTTGGGGAAGTCTTGCGTTAAATTAGAAGTACTGCGATGCATCCACATCGGTCTTCTTTGTTTGCAATACCATGCTGATGATAGGCCAGACATGACATCTGTGGTTATAATGTTGAGTAGTGAGGGTGTCTTGCCTGAGCCCAAAGAACCTGGTTTTCTCTTAGAACACATTCCAGTTAGAGAAGAATCTCCTCACAATCATACAGCTCTTTCAAATAATGAAGTGTCTATCACTTTGTTAGAAGCCAGGTGAGGTCAATTTTGCTTATTGATTTTGGACCACTAATGGGCATAGTTTCAAAAGATAAGATTGTCTATTTGCAATAATGCAAGACGATGTTGATTCTAAACTGCTCTCTTATTTTGGGGATTATGCTTGAGTTTAAATAAAAACCATTTCTTTTTCAATTGTGTTTCACCGCATTAAAAAATATATATTCCAACAGACATTTTTAACCCAACATATTTTTAATATTTTCATTTTCATCCCTCGTGACATAGTTCACTTGTATTCTCAGTTGTCCTCTAGCTGCGTCAATGACCTCTGCTCAAATGCAATAATCTAACGCTCCTCCCGTCCTTAATATAACACTTATTTAACTATTTGATTAAATTAAAAAAGTTAGGTACATCACTTAATTATAAGGAATATGACATGTTTTTTCTAAAGCATAACAATCATCTTTTTTAATATCCTCTCTTCCTCTTCTACTTGACTATGATTAAGAGAGTATCCATAAAGATAATTTAGAAAAAATTAATAAATATAAAAAATTAGTCTTATATTTAGAACCAAAATCAACTCAACAATTAAGTCTTATATTAAGGACCGTGGGAGTACCTTTTTAATATATATATAATAAATAATACTATGTGATTTTCAAGTAAGTTTAATGAAAATGCTGAATTTTCTAAAAATAAAATAAGGACTAATCACAATATAACAATTTTATTTTTTCCTATGAAAAGAAAGGGAGTAAACGTATAAAATGATAAAGGATATAATATTTTCATTTTGGGGTGAGGACGAGATCGCACCATTCAAGTCCTTTTCTTATGGGTCTGGAGAAATTTACAATCAATAAGATTTTCCTGATCATGAAAAGGAAGAATGTGAAAAAATTTTCATTGTCTAAACTAAATATGATAGTATTAAAATCCCTCCCATTTATTTCTCGTCCCTACCCTACTCTGCATTATTTTCTTGTCGCTTAATTATTTTGTCAACCACACTAAAAGGAAAAAAAAAGAAACGAAAAAAGAAAGACGAAGGTGGAAAATGGTGGTTGATTAGTTGTCTTCTCCTGTACGTTGGGTGAACAGTCGCCTTCACTAACGGAGGATTTGAATTGCAATCTCTTAATGCGGTTAATGACGCGATGACCAAAGTTTATACTAGTATTTGATAGCAACTATTTTTTTTTTCTATATACTCTTTCCGTGTTCAATATAAGATATAATTAGAGAGTTAATATTGATTTTAAATATAAGACTTATTCTATATAATTATCAATTTTTTTCAAATTAACCCTATTAATATTCTGTCAATAATAATTAAATATGAGAGAGAGGAAGAAAAATTAAAAAGATATTTGGGTCTTTTGGAAAAAAATATATCATATTAACTAATTTAATTAATATTCTTAATATATTCAAATTAACTAATTAGATGTTATATTAAGTAACGAATAGTATAATATATATATATATATAATTCATTTTAAAAGCTGACCGTCAACAACCCATGCGTGAACCAAAGACTATTCAAATTAAACCATAAGACAAGTGAAAATATAAAAATATATATTTTAATAAGACCATTTACTCAGGGAGAGTTTGGAAAACCACAAAAACAATTAAAAAAGTACTTTTAGGCAAGTGAAGATAAAACTCATATCACATATTTAAATTCATTTAAAAGACACTATAAAATCCTAATAAATAAATAGAATATGGAATTACTATTGTCTTCTATACTAGAATTTATTATTATGTATTTGTTTGCTTATGAATTTTTTTATCATTACATTCTTTTCTCGTAATAATTTCCCTCTTTTTTTTTTGGTTCCTACATAGTCCCAAAATCTTTATTGACTTTGCCATTGAAACTCGAAAGTTTGAAACCCTTACAACTTCAACAATAAGAGCGTATTTTATTGATGATTAATTCATGATCATTTGAGCCTGTCAAAACTTTTATACTATGTATATGGATATTAATAAATTGATATAAGTTTTTCCTTAATAAATATTCAATTAGTTTGTTTATTTTAATATAAAATTTTAATATCAACATTAAAAACAAACATTTGATTACAATCAACTCCAGTCTAAGTATATGACAAATTTCGAATAGGATTTTGACATGCTAAATGATCAGTTCAATTGTAAAAATACTAATTAAAGAAACTTTTAACCTAATTACTTTTTGACACACAAAAGAAGGAAGAAAAACGTAAAAACAAAACCAAAACTAACTCAAGCTCACAAAAATCTAATTAATTAGTTTTTTTTAACAAAAATTTGAAGCAGGGTTTTGATTTAACCCAAACTAAAAATAAAGCGCTGGAACAGTTCTTCTTAGGTTTCCAAATCTCATTTTATTGATTTATATGGAGCCCACTATTATTGGGGCACGTTTGAAGGCCCAAGTAGCTGGTGGTAAAAGAATGTGATGAGTCCATTGGATTGTAAGTGGTAAAATGGTCATAGAAGGAGTTAGTCTTTTATAATGTGACAAATCATCAAGGTTCGAATTTCAATTAGGAGAGATGTTCAAATTTATTATCCAACATTACCTTGAATATGATTGCTTCTTATAGAAGAATAACTATATTTTAGTAAAAAAGAAAAAAGTGGTAAAATGGACTCTTTGGAGCCCACTATTATTCCGCCAACCAGTTCGAATTCGAAAACGGAGAAGCCTTGTGTGAATGGGCCTGTTACAGTCTTCATTACAATTATCGGGTTCTACTCGTCTTCCTCCGCGTTATCCTAGTTGCAAAGTTCAGCATCCTGCCGATGCTTTTTACAAATCCTGAAGCTTTTGGAGTATTCATGGGAAGTGGACATACGTAACATACCTCGAGCACAAAACAAGTTAGCCGATGCTTTACGCTATGTTTGGTACCGGATTTTTGGAGGGGAGTGTTTGGCTGGTGTAATTTTTTAGGAGGGGAGGGGCCCCTCCCCTCCCCTCGTTTGGTTAAAATGTTTTTTAAAGAGGGGAGGGATTCTTTTCCCCTCCTCTTCCTTTCTAGCCTCCCCTCTAAAAGTGGGGTTTTTTAGAGGGGAGATGAGAGATAATATTTTAATTCCTTATATACTCTTTTGATTTGTTAACCTCTAATCAGTCGTAAACATTTCTACATAAGAGAGTTTTTTTGGGCATCTAACAAGAGGTTATTAAGATAATTGTCTCCAAAATTAGAACTTTTTTTTTTCTCTTCTTCTAATTCCAAGAGGTTGTTTGTATTTTCTTTCACCTTCAAGGTCTTTTTTCTGATTGAAATCTATCACTCGTGACTTTTTATCTTGATATTCTATAAGTTTGTGATTATGTCTTGTAAATCAAAATTGGTGAATTGTATTATATATATATATATTTATATCTTAACAAAATAAAAAGTGAGAAAATTCATTTAAATTTTATGAGGTTAAAATAGTCAATTTTTTATTAGAACAAAATAAGGTATTATTAAAATTGCTCCCTCCCCTCCCTTCCAATCAATCCAAACAGGAGATCATTAAAATTCCTCCCCTCCCTTCCTCCTCCCTCCCCTCCCCTTTGTAGCTACCCTCCCCTTTCCTCCTCTCCCCTTCCCTCCCCTCCATCGAGCCAAACACAGCGTTAGCGAAGGAAGGTCTAGCACGCTCTTCAGTGTTGGATGCTTGCCCAGCGAGATTACAAGAATTGCTTTTGGATGATTGTATGGGATCTGATTCCCCTGAGTTTTAATTTTCTTGTTGGGCTTAGCCCTCTTTTGTACCAAAAAAAAAAAAGTTCAGCATCCTGCCGCAAATTCTCGTAGTTTGCATTCTTTAGCAGGTGACGTCCTAATGTTTCGAGATTCTTCATCTGACATAGTGCCTCGAGCAAGAAAGAATTTGCAGCGGGAAAGGTTGAAGGATGAAGATAATAAACCTCACGATCAGTAAGCCTCTCCTTTGACCATCTTTCTTCTGTGCGCTGATTACCTCACTAGAGTGGCTTATGAAGCCAATGCGAAGTTGTCCATTATTTGGGAGCCTCCGGCATTTTGTTTATCGATCAATTTCAGCTCGACTTAGGTTGTTTTCTTCATGACTCTGGTCCTGTTCAGTGCTTTGATATTGCATCTTTTGTTTTATTTTCAAGCATGATGCTTGCTTCTGTATTAAAAAAATAATTTATTTGCGTGTACTAAATAAAGCTTAATATTTTCATTCAAGTTTAACTTTTACAATGTGAATTTAATTTGTTCCATTATTGGGAGATGAATCACAAACGGGTTTCATTCTTCGTTTCTTCCTGGTATGCTTGCTATTAACAACGACGTTCATTTTCCCTTTTCCTCTGCAACTAATGGCTGATTCTATTTTGGCACGACCCAGTCTCATCCCCTCCTTCCTATACCATGCTGATCATGGGCCAAACATGACATCTATGGTTATAATTGTCTAAGCCCAAAGAACCTGGTTTTCTCGTAGAACACATTCTAGTTAGGGAAGAATTTCCCAGCAATCATATAGCTCTTTCAAATAATGAAGTATCTATCACTTTGTTAGAAGGCTGGTGAAGTCAATTTTGCTTATTGATTTTGGGCCACTAATGGGCATAGTTTTAAAAGATAAGATTGTCTTTTTGCAATAATACAAGACGATGGTGATTCTAAATCGCTCTCTTATTTTGGGGATTATGCTTGAGTTTAAATAAAAACAATTTCTTTTTCAATTGTGTTTCACCCTATTAAGAAAATATAGTACAACAAATATATTTAACCCATCATATTTTTTATATTTTCATTTTTGTCCTTCGCGACTTAACTCGGTTGTCTTTTATCGGCGTCGATGACCTCTACTCAAATGCAATAATCTAATACCTTTTTAATATACATAACATATGTATATAATAAATAATACTATGTGATTTTCAAATAAGTTTAATGAAAATGTCGAATTTTCTAAAATAAAATAAGGATTAATCACAGTATAACTATTTTATTTTTTCCTATAAAAAGAGAGGGAATAAACATATGAAATGATAAAGG